TGCTATTTAACCTTAGAACGGTATCTGCACGCCTCCGAGTGGTAAATGCATACAAGAATGAATGGTGGTGGTACTTTTGTTATAAAAAATTTATAAACACATAAAAAGGCTATTTGTTACTGAACCAGAGTTGTATATTTTTGAAATAACCTTTGATCATATCACAGTATGATATGATGATGATGATATCAAAGCAGTGGCGTCGGAAGGCGTCGGGCTCAAGCCCACCCAGCCCACACGATTCCGACGCCACTTATTAATGTATTTTACAATTTAACAAATGATTTTTTTCCGTTTTTTGTCTTTGTATACTATGGTAATCACGTCTAGGAAGTATAGATACCATTACGGCACTAAAAAGCACAATAACGTTCTAGGGTAAATAAATGTAATAGAGGTCGAAACAACAAATTAGTAGAAAATAAACACTCAAATTCACTTACTTTGATCTCTTGTATAAACACTAATATCGCCATTTGCAAACGATACAAATACTTTGTTATCCAAATATCTGTAATAATAATAAATAAAAATTAAAAATGATTGATTTGAACAAAATATACTCCAGTCATTTGGTAGTTTTGTCTGGAAAGTTTTCAGGAAATTTTGAAAATTAATAGTCTTGTAGATTTCGATGTGCGCTTTCGACTTGTAACGTTGGCGCCGCCATATTGAAAAAAATGGCGTCAAAAACAGTTTTGTAATAATAATTCCTTTCCGGCTCATTCTACAATGGATGTATCAATGTACAAATTAACTAGAATTTTTTATGTATATCTTTTGCTAACAATTGTTTTTGTAAAATCTATAGTTTTAACGTACGAGCGCCTCAAAGACATATCGGGCCTCCCTGTATTTGACCGCTCTGAAACTTTCCAGGCAACAGCCTTTTTTTGCACCAAATGACTGGACTAAAAGTGTTGAAATATATTGGATTATAATAATTTAAATTAAAAAAAAGAATGATTCTTAAATTGAATTCTTTCATATGATACTGAACTTTTAAGTACCAACTTACATGATACAATACACAGCTGATCCGTGTTGGATTTTAATCTTATTTTTCTTCGTTCTTATATTATCTGTACAGTTATACACGTGTATGCATCCGTCCTCCGTTCCCAGCCACATTGTAGGCAACAAACCATCACCGCCACCTATAGATTCTTCAGAGACGATGATCGGTGATTTCCTAGGTTCCGGACTTGGCGGAGCACTTTGTTCGTGTTCTGGGACACCCTCCGATACATAATCTTCATCATCACTTGAACTATCACTATCTAGGTGAATATTACCAGAGAGCTTATCGGTGTCTTCAACCGATATACTAACATCCGTTTTGAGTTTATCGTACTCGAGGTCTTTGCTTGGTTGACTAGAAAATAAAGTTTTTGGTATGAGTTGAAAGTAAATATGGTTAAAAATTCAATTTGATAATTATAATAATAAATATTATTTTAAACTGCGCGCATATCAAAAAACATACAATTAAATTTTTTTGTCTCTAACTTAAATTAAATATTAACCCTCACAAAATACAGAAGCTCAGAATAGTAGTTATATATAATATTTCACTGGCGGCGTTTGAGGGTTGCACAATAAATTTTAAGACTACCAAGATTTATATATGTAATATGGTAAATAATATGTTCAATATATTTTTTTCAATATTTATAAAAAATACCTTGAAGCTGCAGGTACTGAAGCAACACATAAAATGCGGGCATTACAAACTCCGTTGCAGCTTGCCACAGTCGGTTCAGGATGAAGGCTTAAAACACACACCTAATACAATAATAAACCAATTAATTTGTTGATTATTATCAAATTTAGAATAGTCTGAGTTAGATAATCTACTCGTAAATATTTTGCGCATCTTATAATTTTAGGTAGGTTATTTATTTAAGAGTAAAACGCCATCCGATATAAAGCATTATAATATAAAATAGAAGATAGGGTCTGGTGCTTCTAGGTAAGCAGCTCCTCAACTTGTTATGCTTCATATAAAATAGAATATATATAAAAGTGATATTATAAAATTCTCACCTGTCCCACGTAACCGTCACTATTGCACACCCAAACGTCGTTTTCTCCATGTGGTCCCGAAGAGAATCCTAAAGTTGGTGCCGCACATGTAAACTGGAGTCCGGCTCGTGTCTTTCTTATAGGAACTGGTGTTACAAATTCTGGAGTCGGCCTTCTATCGGCTAATAGAGCTAGAAACACGTGAAATATGTTAAATCACCGTGATAAATGGCAGTAGATGAGAATTATATAGTATTTGTAGAGCCACCTAAAATAATATTTGTTATTGTTGATTGCGGCTTGCTAATGAATAAATTAAAAAAAAACGAAATTAATATTTTAAAACTCAAAAAATAATAATAAAATTAAAATACGTGTATATTTTTAATATTTTTAATGGAATAAAAAAATACCTAGAATATATATATATATATATATATATATATATATATAAAATATAATATAATGTATTGATTACTTACACAATTTTTGTTTCGCTTCATTGAAAGCTTCTTCCCACCCTGATCGTTTCTCCGGTTTCGAAAATACGACCGATATATTCTCTATACCATTTCTATAAATATCCATAATAGTTACCATAATGTCATAAAAACCAAAATAAAAAAAAATATTTCTATCTACTAACGGCATATTGATGGTCATCTCCAAGTAAGAAAGCTGGGTATCACCAGCTTGTCTGTCTGCTAATTGTCTCGATAATGAAGCTTGCATTTCGCGAACAACATCATCTAAGGCTGAATGGGGGCACCTGAGAGAACTTGCCAATTCGCCAATTCGTTGTATAGCTCTCAAATCCGAACTTAAGGACTCCATTTCGCGAATTGCACGTCTTACACTCTCATCTTTGACTATAAAAATATATGTAATAAAAGAAATATTTGTAAATTTGCTCATTATTGTTAAACATTAATTGTAAACCAGTATATTGTGATTATAACTTAACCGATGCATTAATTTTATAGCTTACATTTACTTCCTCTAAATCATTTTTAATGATAAAACTTATTGCTATAAGCATTTATTTCTACCAGAATATTTAAAACAGATATATAGAACTTTCATGTTTATATTTGAAAAATGGATTCGAGTTCAAAAATACTATAAGCAGTAACGGTCTTAACTTGAATGAAACGCATATGAAAAATGCGAGCGCACGCCTTAGGGGGCGCCAAAACTAGATTTTGAAATGATGTTTATAATATAGTTTTTACAATATCATTCAAGAAATACATAATTTCTTAACATCTGGCGCTGAGGACCCTAGGACCGGCCCTGATTATAAGGATTTTGTGTTAGGTTAATTCGCTTAATAATTAAAAATTATTTTATGAACTACTTCTGTGGTCATTATAAGTAATATTAATAAACATAATATGTATTATTAATATATAATTGCCGCAAACCTTTCATTATCTCTAAATCATCCAAAGGAATTTTCAGAAGTAATTTGTATTTATTTGCATCCAATGTACTCGCTATGCTTCCTGGACATGCGCTGAAAAAGATTACAAATATATTTATTTGTTAAATAATTTCATTTAAAATTTCTTTGATAATTATAATAAAAATTAGAATAATTATTTAATTTTTCTTACGTGGTAGGTTTTCGTATCGTACCACTGCGCCTTTTAATGCTTGTAATAATCAATAAATCTGAAAATAAGAACAATGCACGTTCTTTTCTTGCTCCTTGTCCAGCGTGCATGCTTACTAAATCGTGCCTAAAAAAGTAATTATTAAAAACAATTAATTATTAAATACCTAAAAATGTTGATTTGTCAATGAAATATTAAAATAAATAGATAATCAAAAATTTGTAACAAAAATAATTTCTGACAAATACATATAACATCTAAATATTTGCCTAAACCCTATTTTATCATTTCATTACCTTATGAAAATCATCATTAAAATACAGGATATTGTTATTTTTTAATTATTATGCTTAACATATTTATTTTTTAATTAAAAAAATAATTATGGGTTTCACAACCATCCGATTAATCCAACTTTTAATTGCGTGAGATTTCACAATTAAAAGTTTTATAGATAAAATGATGTTTGGTTGATAAAATGAGGTTCAACTTTTAATTATCGTATTTGCAGAAAAAACGTTCCGATTTTCCAATAACAAGTTGTGTGCAAAACCTCTTCAGATATAGTGAAATTTTATTCAATGGAAAATCGATCTCAGAGAAAGAATGAAGCGCTTTTATGCAACTTAATATCTTACATCATAATAATGATGTGCATATAATAAAGCTCTTTATTAAGACAAGTTATACAGATGTCACGTTCTGTGTGAAATTGGAAAAATACGATATTGAATAAAATAATATTTTAGTATTAAATCTTCTTGTAATTGATTACGAAACAATAAAGATGCAGCAGTTTTTGAAATTACCTAATTTTATAGAAAACATAAAACTGAAGTTTCCAAAACTTCTCTCTGATAAAAGCTTATACATACATTATATGTATAAGTTATATTATGCATGTGCATATGATAAACGTGTGGTTGGATATATACCTAATATATGTTCTTTCCGGGGCTACCAAATTATCTAAACCTTCCACTAAATTTTCTATTTCTCTCAAAGTATTTTGCTGTTGTTCATACTCCAAAGTTTCTCTTTCAGTGCAGTTAATTTTCACTAATAAGTCATGAACTTGTCTTTGAGCTTCCAACAAGAGCTTATGATCCGGGTGCTCGGTGTCTGTGTGCTTTATCAATCTTTGAAGTAAAAGCTCGTACCTGTGAAATTATAATTTATATAATTTGTAATATATATATATATATATATATATATATATAATTCATTACCTTGGAAATTTTTGCACAGGTTTTATGAGTAAGTTATCTAATGCAAGTTTCCCTTTATTTTCTCTCGCCATTGCCTCTAAAAATCTAGCAAAAGCTGGCCTCGCAGCAGATGTAGTTTTGATTGCTTCTTTTGCCTTTTTCCAATTATTTATGAAACCCGTGTAAGTTTCCATCACAGATGGGTTACTAAACTATATAACAAAAATATTAAAATAGATAGATAATAATATTAAAGAGAAAATATATGTTGACAAAATATCGCCATAAATCAAATATATTTTCGTAGCTGTTTAGTTAAATTTTTTTAAATAAATTCAGATTATTTTCTAAAATGCACTAATTTTAATTATTAAGCTCAATATCACTATATATTTCACGCATTTTTTTTCAAAAGAATGTCATTGATGTATGAGTAGCCATTCATATATTCAATGAAATATATGTAGACAAATATTTACAATTCGAGATTTTGATTTATAGACACGTGTTCTCTTACTTCTGTTCAGATTATATTATGAAATAAGATCATACACCTCAGATAATATTACATAAATTATTGATTTCAACAGACTGTGTCTCTGTTTTCAAAATTGAAACGAGCAAATGTCCTGGAACAAAATTTTGTTTTGTAAAAATTATATTTATCAATATTTTTATCTCTATTATTCCAAAACATCACGTCATACTTTTATTAACATTAATTCTATTTCATTTTTTTCTAAAATTTAAATCTTTGATAAATTTCATTCAGCGTTTATTGTAATTCAAATTATATAATATTGCAAATTTGTCTTGATTTTAATAAGAAATTGCGTAAATACAACATATTTTTATTCGGACTATTTAATTAATTGATGAAGCTATGAGTAAAGTATATGCATAATCAAAATACAGATTTTAAATCATAATCTATCACTATAGAGTTTAAAACCATAAAAAGAATTTATTGCACAGACAGTTGTAAAAATTTGATTTAATTCCCAAATTTAATTTTTTCATAATTTGAAGCCATGAAACTTAATGTTACTTTTACTTACGGCGTCCAGAAATACATCGCCAACTTTTTGCTTTGCATCCCAGACTTCTAATCTTTTCCGAAGTTCTTCTAAGAATTTTTCATGAACTGCTAGAATAGCAGGAACCATATAAAATATTTCATCAACTAGAGAAGAATCCACAAGTCCGGCGTGCTCCGGACTTTGCAGAGGATGAAGGTATTTCTGAAATAAAAACAATACATTTTCATTCTTTATATATAAAGAAATATTCTATAAATAAATAAAAACATATTTCATACATAAAATGATAAATTGTATCTCTGAACGATCGATCACCTTTTTATTGACAAAATTTTGAAAATGATTTTTAGATGATCTTGGAAGTCGTTTTAAATCATATCATATACAAAGATGTACTATGTACATACTGATGATCGTAAGTACACTATAAATTAATATAAAAATCAATAGATTGGGGCAAAAATCCCAAAGTACCTCTCTAAACGAGCAGTATATTTACGATGGCGCCGGATGAACGACTTTTTCCAAAAACTAGGAGATGACCCAAATTACACGTATGTTATCAGACAATGTTTAACATCATTCCATTAACGTTTTCATAGTCGCTTGTAATGACACATTTTTCACCTTATATTATGTCATATCAACGTGAATGAAATTTAATTAAATTATTTACGTTCCTACAAATAGGATTTGCCAATTTCAATCTTGCCACAAACAAGGATAACAATTATGCTTTGACAACTTTTTTTAATAAGCGTTGTACATCGCATTTTATGAGTGTTTTTACAACATGAAACGTGATATAGGATTATCCAATATTTGGACAAATTATGTACTTGGCTTAACCATTTTCTACTTTACGATTCTAAAACAAATTGTTCTCATTTATACATTGTAGAAGTATTATCAGTTATTATGAAAATTCAGATAGTAAATTTTTGTTTCATTATTAAAGCGTATAGATGAAACTAGAACTATGGGACGTAGGCCTATCAGCTTCCTGCTTCAAAGAAAAAAACTGATCACATGATCATGTAATGTCTATTTTTGATTGTTCCAGACACATCGGCGCGTTAGTTCATTCTATAGATGTATTTACATTAGTAAAATTTTAAACGTATTACACACAATTATAAATACCTATATTAATACGTATGTATGCCAAAAAAAGAATTAATGGCACCGACAGTTGTAAAAATGTGTAACGATCAGATGTTACATCAATAAAAATTTGTTGATAATATAGGAGATAGGATTCAGATTTTATTTAGTAAGAAAGATGATCAGTTGATTTATAATATTTCATGATTAATTAGAAAAAATGTTATTAGATAAAAATTAATTTTCAAAAAAATGATATAAATGTGAAAAATTATTAGTAAGCGGTAAAATTATATTTTTGTATATTTTCAATAATACAGAGTCTGTAACATAATCATGCAAATACAGAATAGGATTTATTAATATAATAGTACACACTTTTCAATGGCCAAGTCAATGAAGTTCATTAAAATATTATTTAGAGGCAAGGCTATGTTAACCAGCAGTTTTCATATAATATGGAATTGAAAACTGACAAAATATATTAAATAAATATATTAATAATGTTAGAGCGTATATGTTTAAATAACATAATTTATAATTAATTTATATTTTTAAATTATATATTTTTTCTTTTCCCGTCCAATATTCATACGAGGTCTGTTCAAAAAGTACCCGGAATTTTCGTTTTTTCAAAAAAATATTTATTTATTCGTCTACATTAATGTGGTCCCCTTCAAAGTAGTCCCCCCCAGATATAATACACTTATGCCAGCGTTTTTTCCAATTTTCGAAGCACCCTTGATATTCACTTTTTGATATGTCCTTGAGCACTCTCAGCGATTTTCTTCAATCGAGGAAAACCGCCGTCCTTTCATGGGTCTCTTCAACTTTGGGAATAGGAAAAAGTCACACGGAGCCATATCTGGTGAATTTTTGCACTTTGCAACACTTTATTTCATTTTTTACGCAAAATTTAATACAAATTCTTTGACTTTTCAATTCTTCCATTGTAAAAATCGCCGAGCTCAGAAAAACACGTCAAACCTTAGCGACTACCACAGACAAAAAACAAACAGTGAATATAGCTGAAAATTTCATCATACTTTAGGGGCATGTATACCAACACAATAAAAAAAAATTTTGACAATCAGACACTCCAGACCCGCGAAATTTAATTATTAGTAATTCCGGGTACTTTTTGAACACACCTCGTATGCATACCTGTACATAGCAGGTAACGTGATATAATACAAATGAAGTATCACAATAAAAAAGAGCAGATGACAAAGTATACGATAGCAAATAGATTCGAATTACATTTCAAATGAAATAAAACTTTCCAGTGCTTTGATTTATTTTATTTTTTTTTCAGTATCACGTGCTGACGCTGGGTAACCAGAATTCTCAATATTGCGGACATATATATTATTCATATCATTTTTGTTCAATATATATCAAATACTACAAACTGATGAAGTGTTTGTAATTTTAACTTTTTGATAAAAGAAATGAAAATAATAATAATTTTGAGAAATTATTCGCATTGAGGTTCAAGTGTTCCTTCTAGGGAGTTTAAAGAGAATCATTTACAATATTTTCACAAACTAAATAAAGTGTTTATTGTTCTTCGTATGGACCTTATCATAATATTAAAACTCATTATTTTAAAATGTTGTTTTCCTCATATTTGTTTTCAATAAGCGTGTCTATACAGAAATTAATCACTTTACCGTACAAAATAAAATAAAAGAACATCGTATATTCTCTTCGTCGCACATTCGTACAATTAATTAGCAGCAATTAGTTACTTTTCATTTTATCCAATAAATGGATATTTTCCAATATTTCTTTAATTACTTCGATAGATAATTAAATACCTCGAAGTTGTTTTACGTGGAATTCATAGATGACCTGTTTAGATAGTTCTTGATAACTAAATGGATTCATCATAGACCAACCCCAACACAGTTTATATTCTCCTATTGAAAGGTAACGATCGTCGATAACTTATCAATTATTTAGATGTTATCAATTTTTAATATCGTTATGAAAGTTTTTATGATTACTTAATGTAATTGAAAAATTAAATCATTCCGATATGGAAAATAGTTCGTAGAACGGAGAACCTGCTCAATAACTAACCTACATAAAATAATGATAGAGACAATGGTAAGGTAACATAAATGTAATTTGTTAACATTACGCATAAACACAATATTTTCAATTTAATTTACTTTTAAATTACATTTCCAGTTAGTTCAAAAAAATATATTCAAGTTTTTATAGAATCTAATAATAAAATTAGGACTTACCAAAACTAGAATTTGTAAAGCTTCTACATAGGAGCGTTCTGTATCAAATAACTCTACAACGACATGAGTCCTCGTATCCTGAAAAAAAGAAGATTTCAATGATAATGATAACAGTATCAAATAAGAAAATAAATGAAATTGCTTTAAAGTAAATCTAAAAAATGAATTTAGGTGATATAGCATAAGGTAGAGTTGTTTTTTGGATGATAGTGGTTCAAATAAGAAGATTAATAAAAATATTTTGAAATAAATCTAAAAATTAAATTTAGTATTCATGCCTAGAGGCTCTATGGGATATTATATAAGGAAGAATTGTTTTTTGACGATTTATTCATAACAAGATTTGTTTATTTATAATAAATTTATTTTATAACAATGTACCATATGTAAATTTTGTCAAACTAATACATTGGCCTTGTAAAAGATAAACTGAATTCGTTTTATACAAAGCAATTAGGTAATAACCATTTTATTATATATTGAGAGATAGAATATGCAACAGCTTGAAGAGAGATATTTGAAAATGTGTTCCAGGATTGGAACACGCTAAGTAGGTCATGGCAACTGCATATGCAGGCGGATCCATTGGGATAAAAGCTTACAGAATTGATAGGAAAAAATGTGATAGCCTTCATATAGAAAGTTTTCCATTCAATATGGACGATAATTCATAGTTCCGACGTATTAATTAACATTAATTAAAATAACTTCTTAACAATACGTAGATATTATATACTTTATTCATATATATTAAGATTTTAGATTCTAATAATAGTTACTCAGCAACAGCAAAAACTTATTATGTATATGAATAAATATATTTAGATTTAATATTTTTAAATATTGTAATAGCTATATACTTTCCAATACCAATATCAATGAACTAGCAAAATAATTTTATAAGGCTAGGTTTGAGAAAGCAGAATTGGCTGATATGAAAAGAGAGAATTGTTTAAAAAAGAATCTTATATAGAATTAGAGGTATTGTTGCATTTATAGCAAGAATTTCTAGAAAATGACTAAATGCTAAATAATAAATGATAGATAAAACAACAAGGTAACAATAGTACATGTATTTGGTTGATCGATAATTATTAAAAAAAATAATATGTCAGCTTTATGCCTGAAGTTATATATGATATGTAGTGAAGTGTTCACAATATGTAGTTAAAAGTTCTGATTAAAGATGTTCTGGTAACTGGTACTAGGCATATACATATTGGACTTATATGAATTATATGGCAAGTGTATATTAAAGGTAGAATTTAAAAAAATAAATTTGTAAACTTATTACTTATGGGTCGATTCTGCCGGAAAACAGACCAATGTTATGGCAAGGCTATGTTACGCTCCAGCTTCCGTATTTTATGCTACTGAATCATACTGAATACTGTCAAAGTGTCATGTATTTGCTGTAAAATTAGGCATTTTACACATAATCTGATTAAAGATGTTTTGCTATGAATAGTACTGGACATATACATATTGGACTTATATGAATTATATGGCAAGTGTATATTAAAGGTAGAATTTAAAAAAATAAATTCGTAAACTTATTATTTATGGGTCGATTCTGCCGGAAAACAGACCAATGTTATGGCAAGGCCATGTTACGCTCCAGCTTCCGTATATTATGCTACTGAATCATACTGAATACTGTTAGAATGTCATGTATTTGCTGTGAATTCAGGCGTATTACACTTAAACTGCAACGTCACTTGTATGTTATGAAGTTGGGTCTGAAAAACCCTGTTATCTAAGATCTTTTTTTGACATTTGTGCGATTTCTAGGTTAGTTTTTCTATCTGATAACTTGAGAAATACACCTGACTGCATAAGAACCACATGGTTTTTGTCAAATTTAGTATGGAAAGTTCTTCATAACATAGCCTTGCCATAACATTGGCCTGTTATGCGGCAGAATTGGTCCATTAACCTGTTAAACGGGCAAAAATGCGTCCTCGAAAATTACGTACGAACGAGGCGTATAATTTGGATCGACTATTAAAATTATACTTGTTTTGCGCTTTCTTTTGTACTTCAAAAATATTATTATAAAATATATATTTCATAGTTTTTAATTTTATTTGTATCAACAGAAATATAAAAATATGAAATTCTAAAGACAAAACACGCTCCGTTAACAGGTTAATACAAGGTTCAAAATTTAAGAATTAAAATTGAATAAAAAAAATTCAACATAAATAAATATTTCATTTATATGTGTAAACTGTGATAAATGATTACATAAGCAAGAAAGCTCGCAATCAATTGCCGGATTCATTTTTTGTTTCATTATTATCCTCTCTAAGTTTTCTGTCCACGATTTCTCTATCAATGAACTATCTGTATATAATATATCTCACCGGCATAACAGATGACAATGAGTTCCTATTTGGCAAACTGTCATCGTCGCTATCGGACCCTGCAGCAGGCCCTTGCTCCGGCAATTCGTTCTGCAGAGTTCCCAAAGCAGCGCTAAGACCAGCGCCGGGACTAGGGTCACTGAGACGCAAACGCAAGCCGTCCCTGGCGCTTGACCCGTAGCCCGCCATACTCAACATTTGTTTAAATCTTTGATGGTATTTATTTCACTCACATTTACCAAATTTACACAGGTAAAATTCACATAGTTCACTGATAATTTTTGACTAGAAGAAATGTTTTTGGTTTAAGTCTTTGGACACGTTTGATGCATTGCAGGTTGCCTTGTTTGACTAGCTCTAGCTTGTTGGTTTAGTTTACTCGAAGTGCACATGGTCACTCATTTAAATTATTCTTATTTTATGTTAGGGGCATTAAAATCTTGAAACTTTCTGCAATAATGATTTTACTCAATATACCAATTATTTTCCTGGCAAAATTTGTAGTCAGTTCTTAGAATTTCTATTTATCAATTGTAATTTTTTTAGAATTCATTTTAACCCTTTCGACTGCCGCTCCGAATGCCGCCGCTCCGAATACATATAAATTCTGGAATTCGCGAGTGGGAAGGGTTAATTCGAGAACATATAAAGGGGCGGGCTTAGTTCAGGCAGTAGTACTGTCTTACACGCTAAGGATACTCGGTTCGAGTCCTAGCATTAACATAAAATTTCAATTTGAGAATACGATTCGACGAGTTAAATTAGAAGTAAGAAGACAAAAATATTAGAGCACGCGAAGATAAAAAAGAATGAAGAAATAAAGAATTTAACAGATAAGAAGGAGTAGAAAAGAGAGAAAGAAGAATGAAGAAGTGAAGAATAGAATCAAAAGTTAAAAGAAGAATCACGATTAGAAGTAAAAGATGAATAAAGAAGTCAGTTAGAAAGAAAATTGGATAGTATATGATATAATAAAGATAGTATATGCAGTGGTGTTGTGCATTTTTTTACCGGAAAGCTAAATTTGAAAAAACCGGTTCTCATGTTCCCTTCCAAAAGGAAATAAAAATCATTACATAATCATTTTGTGCATATATATGTATGGTTATTACAATAGAAACATTTTCAAAAATTAGTTAAATTCTGGCGAGTTCCGGCTCGACAACACCACTGAGCACTGAGTATATGATATAAAAAATAGTATAAAATGTACAACTCTTTTATGAATATTATCATTATTTGCTTTTACAGTATATTCACTTATTCACAGAAGCTTTTACTGTGTGCATACGCTTACAAAATTAATCATAGCTTTCACAAAAATCAATTTCTACAGAAATCAAAAAGTTCAATACTAATAACAGTTATAACCACAAAATGGAATTCACTACACAAAATAAAAATTTCGTTATAAATTAATACTAGAGATCTCTTTATTTCATTTGACATATACTATATAAATTAAGAAAAGTAAAAAAATCAATCATGCCATATACTCATACAATTTCCACCAAAAACTTCTTGCAAATGTAGTTTTCATATCTTAATTATAAATTATATACCAAAAATTTCTTGAAAATCAAATGTAGCTCGTTAGATATTTTTTCTCATTTCACAATCGTTGTTGATTTCGAAATGAAAATAGATGCTACTTAATGAGCTTTGTGTATGGATGTCTTAATGACTGCCATTCGGTTTGATATTATTGTGCAAGTCACAAGAAGATTTTATGCCCCAATCACTGATTTTCAATTCAATACGACCACCTGTTGCTTTCGACGTTCAATATAAGCACGAGAGCGATTGTGTTATATATGTGTTCATTTCGATACGCTTCTTGAACCTCATATTTATATACATATACAACATGATATGTTCCCATTGGAAAATTATTAAAAGAAAAAGACTGCATGTCTGTGAGTAGGTTTCTTAAAGGATTACTTGAACGCCGAACTAATGAATTATACAAGGATCTTGAAATAATTTTGATCTTATGCCGTGAAATGCACGTCTTACGGATCGAAAGTATAATTCTTTGATATGACAACTATCTTGGTTAAGAAAATTATAAAAAAAACTAGTTATGTCTGTGATTGTAAGATCATATCAGCATTAATGAATTAAGTAAGTCTCTTAAATAGTGTATCGTTAGAATAAATTTTCCACCTATTTTACATTAGACAGTCAATAAAGTACATTTATTTGATATGGCAACAATCAACAAGATCAGTTCGGCCTGGTAAGTTACTAATAGGATAAACTACGAAATTAATGGATTATATAAAGCAAAAATAAATAAAAATAAAATTAAAAATTAGAAATCAATCATATAAATAATTTATATTATGATAAAAAATTAATTAACAAATATATTTTGATAATCTTTTAACTAAAAAAACTGTAAGTAAGGATTGTTTTCTCTTCTATTAAATAGCATATTGATATAACATAGCCTATATTTCTTCAATAAGTTTCCTAAGTAACTTCAATAATTTCAATAGTATTCTTTATTTAACTAATTATATATTACCAATCCTTAGTTTAATATTCTAATGTTTCACATTTAAAATTAATAATTCAAAACTAATTTACCTTCGAAAGCTAGAATCATGTATTCGATACTGTATAACAAAAAATATCAAAATTCAATTTCCGATGAGTGAAAGCTTCTGAGTGAAATTTCCGAGAAACTGTACTGAATAATTATAGATT